CCTCCACCTTCACCCCCTCCCCCCCACACACACATCCTGCCAGGTCATCAACGAGGTCATGCTGGCAGACCAGCCCACCAAGCAGTTCGTGAAGCCCGAGGACCTGGCGGCCATGGTGGTGCACCTCTGCGGGCCCCACTCCGGCTCCATCACGGGCGCATGCATCTCCGTGGACGGCGGGTGGACCGCCCGGTGACGCGCCCGGTGACGCGGCCCTTGGTTTTTGGCCCGGACGATGCATGTGCAGCCAGTGATGCCTCATGGGCAACAGAGGGAGTGAGCCTTGCTGCAGCATGTGGGGCGGCCTGCCTGGTCGCGGGCTGCTGTGGTTTTGGGTGGCCGGTGCACAGGGCTGGCAGGCGGCAGCTTAATTGGTTTTTTTTACTGCGGGTCGTTTGGCCCGCTCTTGGCCCTGGCATGTGGCGGCAGTGCAGGGTCGCTGAGGATGGTGTAGTCAGGCCATCACGCGGTCCTGGTATCCTGATGCCATGCGGCTTCATGACTCTGGTGCTAAGACCTGCCGGTGGCGGTGGTTCAGGCAGGAGCGGCTGCGGTTTGGTCCCACCCTGCTCTCCGACTGTTGCTGCATCTGTGGAGTGGTTTTGCTGCGCTGGCCCCGTGCAGGGCGATGCTGGCCGCGCCTCGGCGAGTACAGCTGAGTAATATCTTTGCGGCGGCTTGACCCGAGTTGCGGCCTATTGAGGAAGGGAGGCTCACAAGCGAGCGCACGGCCCAGGGTGGTAGGGCTGCGGTACGACCGCGTCGCTGCCAGCCGGCCACGGCCCGGCGCAGCAGCTTTGCTTCTTCCGTCGCACTCATCAAAGGATTGCTATGCCGCTGCAGCATCAAGCGCCGTGCCCACTAGGCGTTCTTCGTCTTGGAATGACTGAAGCCGAGCGGCAGCGGAGCGGCACGCACGCGCTGCTCCATGAGCCTTTAGTGTGTACCATAAGCACGTTGCTCTTGCACGATTGCTTTTGATTCATCCTGTCTTGACAGATTACAATTGCAACAAAGGACTTCAGCCATCGGCCTTCGCTGCAACTTCGTCCTTCAGAATTAGCGAACGCTGAACCAGCTCACCGGGCCTGTCCTTAGCCTGCAGCTGCACACGAGCAGATAATATCGACAGTAGTCAACATGGCAGGCGATCCCGCTGTTCTACCCACCTCGGCGGACGCTGCAGCGGGGACTGCTGCAACAGGCAGCACCCCCTTGGTCCCTCCTGGGAAGCTCGCTTTGATATCGGGAATCGGATCGCGGCTAAAGGATTATGTGGGAAATACGTTCGCAAACGTAAGCCCACGCACCGGGTGGTTGCTTGTCGCTGCGCTCACTGCACTGCTTGTGCTGCGCTGTTGTTCTGCTCCTGCCGCGCTGCCGCCTCGACGACCTGCCACGCACCGGTGATCCGCGCCGAGCAGGGCAACCCTGCCCTTTGTCACTTGCACTCACGCAGCGCAAGCCATGGGGAGAGGTGATGGAGCGCGGCGCGTTTGCGCGGCCAGCCAACTTTGGGGAGGTGAGGCTTGATGGTCGCGGCCTGCGGCTGGGCTGGGCGGCAAGATGCAGACTCTGCCCCTTGAGATGAGTTTCTCTTGCATGTCTCGGTTGCATCTCAGAAGTGGTCGCTCGCACTCTTGCAGGCCGCAATCGCTGCGCCCGCCGACGCCCCCGTTCAAACCAACACCCTGCCAAACCCGCGCTCCAGGCGTCTGCGCGGCTGCGCAAGAACGCGGCTTACTTCCGCATCAACTACCTCATCGTGCTGCTGGCCTCGGTGGCGCTGGGCTTCCTGATGCACCCCTCGTCGCTGTTTGTGCTGGGCGCGCTGCTTATCGGCTGGGTGTACGTGTTTGCGGTGCGGTCGGGGCCCCTGGTCATCAACGGCCGCGAGCTCAGGTGGGGCGGGCGGCACGGCGGCGGCAGGGACGGGGGTGGGTGGGAGCCTTTGGCCGGCCTTGACAGAGCTGCGGGTGCCTGGCTGGGCGCAGCTGGGCGGCGATGCTTGTGCTTCGGAGGTGTCTCGGCAGGAGCCGCTGCGTCGAACACTTGTGTGCGCCCACCCGCGCCTGGCTGGGCCACTGAAGAGCTTGAACACTCCCAATCGCGTCGGCCCCTCTCAGTGAGCGGGAGAAGGTGATGGCGATGTCGGCGCTGTCGTTCGTAGTCATCTTCTTCCTCACCAAGTGAGCCTCGGGGACACCTGTGCGCTAATCGGTTGGCGCAGCAGCGAGGGCAGCAGGGGTTGAGGGAGGTGTTGGCGGGATCAGCTTTGTTCAGCGCACTCTTTTCGACGCGGTGCACGCGAAAGCAGCAGCAGCGCAGCGCACTTGAGGCAGCGCAGGGAGCCCTGATGCAAGCCCTCCGCTGAACCCCTGTCTTGAGAGCAGGTCCCCGCAGCAGCCTGACGACCCGCCAACCCGCCTCTCTCCCACCCCCCCCCCCC